AGTTTAACAGTTTTGAAAACAGTATGTAAGCACATGCAAAATGTCCTGTACCTACAAAGATTTTTGGCAGTTGTTGTGTCTGAGTGAGAAAATAATTCATGAAATTTGAGAGATGTAGTCATTGAATGCATTTTGTGCCAAAACAATGATAACTGGTCCTCAGTTTGGCCCACATAGACTTCTGTTGTGCTCACTGTGTGAGGAGTTTTGCAAACGTGACCTAAGTATTGAGACATGTGTCCTAGTGTCTGTAAAAAACTGTAAATCATGCACAATAACGGGCCAGACATGCATTTCTTATGGATGTTAAGTACTTTTACCTTTCTCGGGTGTAATGAGAGCCAATCCCACCTCTTTCAACAGGCTGCCAATAGTTTGCCTTTTTCCCTTTTTTATTTATTTTACAGGGACTTTTACTAAAGGTATTGTTTGTTTCTGTGTTTTTTCTTTGTTTACTCCTTGTCTGTAGTAGTGTTTGGATTTGTATGTGTATTTGCTGCAACTTATGACTGCACCACTGTACGTCTCGGCCAGCACACTCTTGAAAAAGAGATTAATCTCAAGAGTTTTTCCTTAATAAAGGTTAAATTTAGAGAAAACGTTATGACAGATTGAGCTGTTTCACCTTTAAACCACAAAGTATTTGATTACATGTCATTATAGCGCAGTATTATCAGTGTGTCAGTGTAGTTGGATAGAGCTTTTTTTTAAATAACAACAGAAATAGTAATCTTTATTATTATTTACAGTTACATATATAATTTGGCGTCTGTATGAAAATCAAACCCGTCTTGCTCAGCGCCTCTCAGGTGACTGAAATATTAACTTTAATATATTATGTTGTGTATTTTGACATTTTTCTTCATAGAGTTTGTGTCCAATAAGACAACTGCGTGCAAATATTTCTCATAACTGTATCAAGCGCCTGTAGATTCTTACAGGGTATTTTTCTGGAGCACTCAGTGCTTTCTGAAACATGCCTAAAAGCTTTCTGCCTAACATCCACAGCAGAGCGTGGTGAACAGAGCATGAGCACATTTAAACACAGTCACTCAGTTAATTAGGTTAGCTCACTGAGTAGCACTGCTCACAGTATGGAAATTACAGAGGATGATATATGTGCACACTTACTCTACATGTACAGTATGTGTGTGGACAGGATCCTTGGATGAGGCATGCATGTGTGTATTACTGTTGTGAGGATGTGTAGATACATAAAACTGCCCCTCAGCAGCTGACAGTTGCTGGGAGTCCCTCCTCTACTGCTTTCCCCTGTAAACAGGCCTCTTTCATTCAATTACAGCGTGTCACCAGCAGATGGCGCTTTCTTCACAAAAATCTTCCTCGGTATTATCAGACGACTGCTGATTTAGCACTATAGGAGTGAAACAGAATTTACTTGAATGTCACATTATTTTGACAGCTTTTGTTCTTAAACCTCTGTTAAAACATAAAAACATAAAAAAGATGAAGGTTTACAGTTTGATCATTTACACATTTTGTACCACAAACCACCAAAACTGTTTCCAGCAAACAGTTCTTCATTCATTTCAATCTAATGTAATCAACACATTGAATGTTACTTGTTCTTTGTGAATTATGAGCACGTCCTTCATTTTTTCTGTTAGTTACAATATTTGTATTTATCTGTGGAACTTCTTTAACCTCTGCTATTGTGCAGAGGTTAAAGTTTGAAGCCAGGAATCTCCCAGCAGTGTGATCTGGACCAGTAGCTTTCCATGTGTTAACTCTGCAAGGAGTTTTCCTCACATCAGCAGAGGTCAGACACAGAACCCGGACGTGTGAGGGGGTTGGACTTCCTCATCACCACGTCATCCTGAGCTTCAAACCGTGCATAGAAGTTGTTCCGTGCATCTGGTAGGGAGGCGTCACCGCGGCAGGCATGTGTTGATGGCCTGGATGCCCTGCCACATGCACCACATGTCGCCGC